CAAGTGCTATAGACAAAGGTAAGAATATTTGGATTGATCTTCCAGATGTTAGGGATAACAAAAGGAAAGGGGGGAAAGGTGGGGGAAGAGGTAGAGGTCGCAAATGAAGCTTCTCTCATGGAATACTAGAGGGTTTGTTGCTGACAAGAAATATACAACTATAGTAAATAAGATAAATAAACACAGTTTAGATATTGTTGCTATTTTGGAACCTCGGGTAAGTAGACTGGAAGCTAAGAAGTTGAAGCAAAAAAGATTTGCAGGTTGGGAGTAGGAAATCTTTTTCAATGACGAAGGTTTGGGGAAAATTTGGTTAGTATGGCGCTCTGAGATTCAGTTGACTAAAAAATCTCTGATCAGTTTGTTCATGTCCTAATTGGGGGCAATGCTCTATTTTTTGCTACGTTTGTGTATGCTTCAAATAGTGAGAGTCAGAGGGAAGTGCTGTATGCAGATATAACTCGCTTTAAAATGGTCAATTTCCCTGGATCCTGGTTGGGGACTTTAATGCTATTAGACATTCGAGTGAAGGCTCAAACAGTCCTCAGTATTCTACTAGTATGAAGTCTCTAAATGACTGTTTGAGAGATATTGATGTTGAGGAGCACAAATCTACTGGACCATGGTTTACTTGACTAAATAAGAGGCAAGGTGATCCTATTGCTAAAAGACTTGATAGGGCTTTTGTCAATTTGGAGTGGCTGGAAGAGATAAAATAGAGTGTAGTGCAGATGCATTCTCCTAGGGTCTTGGATCATTGCCTGGTTTTTATTCAAACTGAGTTCCCTCTTAAGTCTTTGCCTAAGCCATTTAAATTTTTCAATTTCTGGCTAGGGCATCCAATGTATGAGGAGCTACTTGTTCAGGCTTGGGCTGAAGTTGTGGGAGGTTTTCCTTTGATCAGGGTCTACAAGAAACTAAGAATTCTTAAAGGTTTTCTCAAGAAGCTCAACAAAGAGGAATTCTCTGATATAAGGGGGAGAGTGAGGGATAAAGAAAGAGAACTGGAATCTATTCAATTGGATGCCCTTTCAAGTCTTTCTCAAACGAGTTTTGAGGTTGAAGTTAAGGTTTCTAAAGAGCTTTTTGATCTGATTCGAGCCGAGGAAATTTTTCTGAGGCAGAAATCTAGAGAGTTGTGGTTAAAAGTAGGGGACACAAATTCAGGTTATTTCCATCGATCTATGAGAACTAGGCTCAAAAGAAATACAATTACTTCTCTTAAGGATGCTCTGGGAAATATTGTCACTTCAGTAGAAGGCATGTGTCAGGTGGCTATTGATTTCTATATGCATCTGCTGGGGAGAGTTAATCCGCATGTAGAGTTGGAGTCAGTGGATTTCTACAAGGACTTGTAAGGCATAATCTCAATCCGGCACATGTGATCTCTCTCTGTGCTCCCATCACTGCCACTGAGGTTAAGGATGTTATGTTTAGTTTTAATGGAGATAAGAGTCCAGGTCCGAATGGATATAATGCCAGAGTTTTTCAAGCTTCTTGGGGAGTCATTGGGGATGAAATCATTAATGCTATCCAAAGTTGTTTTGTGTCTGGAAAGATACCTAGAGAGGTAAATGCTACTATTCTTGCTCTGATTCCCAAGGTCCAGAATCCAGATGAGATGAAGCTTTTTAGGCCTATTTCTTGCTGCAACATAGTATATAAATGTATATCAAAGATTGTGGCAAACATATTTAGTGCTCTCCTTCCCCTATTAATTAGTAAGAACCAGACTGCTTTTGTAAAGGGGAGGGTTATTGGGGAGAATATTCTCCTTGCTCATGAGCTAGTGCATAAGTACTCTATGAAGAATATTTCCACTAGATCAGCTTTGAAGATTGATCTTATGAAATCCTTTGATTCTGTGAATTGGCAGTTTCTTTTTGTTGTGATTGAAGCCATGGGGGTACCTAGTCAGTTCACTGAATGGATAAAGATGTGTGTCACTAGCCCTATGTTGAGTATTGCGTTTAATGGGGGATTAGTGGGCTACTTTCCTGCAAAGCAAGGCTTGAGGCAGGGAGACCCACTCTCCCCATATTTGTTTGCTGTGGCTATGGAGGTTTTTTCCTGTCTATTGGATCTGGAAGCTAAGAAGGGGAGATTTCCTTACCACCCAATGTGCAAAAAGATAGGCATGACTCACTTATGTTTTCCCGATGACCTGTTGGTCTTTTCAGATGGATCTAACTATGGTATTCAGAGTGTCCAGAGAGTCCTGAGTGTGTTCCATAAGCTCTCTGGTCTACAGTCAAACCCTAGTAAATGTGAAGTTTTCTTTGGAGGGTTAGCAAAGGAGGAAATGGTGGCTCGAGCTAGCAGATATTGTTATTAGTTAGGTGGTTTCCCAGTGCGTTATCTAGGAGTGCCTCTAGTGGCTGGGAAGCTTACAGTTAATGCCTGCAGACCTCTCATAGACAGAATCACGAGCAGGGTGCAGGGGTGGAAGGAAAAGTCTCTAAACTATGATGGCAGGGTGGAATTAGTTGGCTCTGTTCTGTATAGTATGACACAGTACTGGATCTGGTGGAGGCATGTTTCAATTCGGCACATATGATGCTCAGCAGCAACAACAGCAGCAACAACAACAACAACATAAAGAGGTAATCACCTTTGGGAACCCATTTTATTTGAACCCAAACGAAGCACTCAACCAATCCATAGGATCTGAGCTCTTCGATGGGACAAATTATACTATGTGGAGTAGATCAGTGATTGTGGGTCTAAAGATGAAGCACAAACAGGGTTTTGTGGATGGAAGCATTCTGATGCCTCCAGTTATGGATGAAAGTTATTTGCTCTGGGATGCTTGTAATACGACAGTGTTATCATGGATTCTGAACTCTCTACACAACGATTTGCAAAGATCTGTGATGAATCATGTCAATGCCAAAGTTCTTTGGGATGAACTGAAGAGAAGGTTTGGTAGACCAAATGCTATCAGAATCATCAACTTATAGGATAAGATACAAGCTTGCAAGCAAGGGAACTCGACCATAAATCAATACTATACTCAGATGAAAGGTTACTGGGAGGAATAAATGCAATTCATCCCTATTGTTCCATGTAATTGTGCATATGGAAATCCCAATCCTTGTGCAGCAATAACAACCTATACAGAAAGACAAGAGACAAACTACCTTATTTGGTTTTTTAGGGCTCTCAACCCATATTTTGAGGTGGCAAAGACTCAGATCTTGATGCATAAACCACTACCGAGTGTATCTGAAGCTGTAGATGACCTGTTACAGCATGACTAGAAGTTGAAAAGTGAAGTAGGGGAAACAACAAGAAATTTCATAGTGTGGCTTTAACTGTCAATGCAGGACAAAGTCAGCAAGACAAGAAGTTTTGTGAATTTTGTAAGAATCATAACGTAGATGAATGTTGGATCAAGAAGAGAAAATACATGGAACAAAGGAATGGTAACAACTCAGGTGGATCACAAGGACGTGGAACAACCAAGTTTGTTGCATCTGTGTCACAAGGAAGTTTAGGAGAATCCCAAGGAGAAGGAAGGGTAGCTGGAGACACATCAGAAGGAAGCTCTGTGAGTACTGCTAAGTCTGTGGTAGGTTTTACTCTTGAAGAGATGAATAGGATAAGGTTCATGATGCAGTCTAGAGCTAGCACATCCAACACACCTCCACTCTCACCTTCCATTTTCCATAATGCCTATTCAGTATGACAGTATCTTCTTCCCTTTCCAAATTACTCAGGTAATTATGTCCTTTCCACTCATTCCAACCTTACCAACACCAATATGGTACATTTTTGGATTCTAGATACAGGAGCTTCAAATCACATCTCATGTTCCTTAGCACTTTTCACTGAGTACCAACCAGTTCTCAATACTTACGTGTATCTTCCTAACACAACTAAGGTTCTAGTTACACATATAGGTACAATGAAGTTAACATCAGGATTACACTTATACAATGTCCTTCTAGTTCCAAGTTTTTCCTTTAATCTTGTCTCGGTTAGTAAACTCACTCGAGATTGCCCTCTAGCCTTACACTTTCATTATGATTTATGTCATGTTTAGGATCTTCTAAGCATGAGGATGGTTAGTTTAGCAAGAGAATCTAGAGGTCTATACCAGCTTTCTTTCCAACCATTTCAAGATCAAATGACCACCCCTTCATTCCCACAAGCAGCCACCACTTTCAACTTAAATGCTCATCAATTTGATCTCTAACATTGGAGACTTGGCCATACCAGTAGTGATAGGATTTCTCTATTACAACAAAGTGATTCCACTGTAACTAGCTCTAAGATTTCTCATTGCGATGTTTTCCACTTCTCTAAACACAAACGACTTCCATTTCCTTTTAGAACTAGTACTGCAAATGATATGTTCCAACTTATTCATGTTGAATTTGTGGCCCTTTTTCTGTTATCTCCTATGATGGTTATACCTATTTCCTTACTATTGGGGATACTTACTGTTGTGGATGATTGTTCTAGAGCAGTTTGGGTGTTTTTAATAAAGCACAAAGGTGAATCATGAGGGTTACTTAAAGGGTGTTGTCAACTGGTTAAAAATCCATTTGTAAAGACAGTAAGAAGTGATTAGGGAAGAGAATTCAATATGTGACTTTTACATGGAGAATGGTATTGAGCATCAAATGTCCTGTGTGGAAACACCAGAACAAAATGCTAAGGTGTAGAGGAAACATCAACATATATTAAATGTTTCTCGTTCTTTAAGGTTTCAATCAAGTCTTCCTCTCAAGTTTTGGAGTGATTATGTTCTTCACTCAGTCTATCTCATTAACAGACTACCTACTCTAGTGTTGCAGAATCGATCTCCTTATGAAATATTATACAGTAAACCACCTTTTCTTGGTCATTTGAAGGTCTTTGGTAGTCTTTGCTATGCTAGCACACCGAGTCATGCTAGAACCAAGTTTGATGCAAGAGCACGACAGTGTATCTTTTTGGGCATACCCCCAGGCATTAAGGGCTATAAACTCTTAGACCTTTTAAACCATAGAGTCTTTGTTTATAGGGATGTAGTGTTCCATGAAACTATACTTCCCTTCAGACATAATTCTCCATAATTACACACAGATTCCCCAATGGTCTCTCCTTCGCCTGTTTACTCCTCCCCACCGATTCAAATGCCATCTCCTCCATCACCAGTCATACCTTTTTCTTCTCCTACACCCTCTGATGATGGGGCAGACCTCTGAAACAGTTGAATTGGCATCCCCAGTAGAAGACATCTCTAAATCCCCAGTAGAAGATATCTCTGTTTCTTATAGTGAACATGACCATGAATTGGAACCTCAAGCAGATTATGAGGAACCAATTGGTAGACCACTTAGACAACATCATCTTCCAGCTAAATACAATGATTGTGAGCTTGATCCAAGAATGAACTTTGGTGGATTTGGTTCTGTGGCAACAGTTTGCATATATCCAGTTAACTTACATGTGTATCATCTCAACAAAGTTGACAAGAGATATGCACCACAGAGTGTTTTGGCTTAGATGGAACCAAGATCATATGCAAAAGCTGTGAAGTATATTGAATGGAAAAGAGCAAAAAGAAGCTGAGATAGGAGCTTTGGATGAAATCAAACTTGGGAGAGAGTGTTGTTACCTCCAGATAAGAGGATGATAGGGTACAAGTCGATTTTCAAGATCAAATTGAAACATGATGGATCTGTGGATACAACCACACTACAACGACGAGACGACTACGTGAGTTAAGAGCATAGCATGGCACGAGATTGGAACAAGATCAGGTGAGGGAAGACTAGGTGAGACAAGAGAAGCACAAGATCCACGACTATCCGAGAGAGGTAGCTAAGCGATTGAAGGAGCAACTACCACTGCGGATTATAGGGGATTCATTTTAGACATCATTCAAGACCTTAAAACCTCGAGAAGGAGCACAATTTGGTTAAAGGAGCAGGGTATTCCTTTTAATAAATTCCATACTATGGCTTATGTGAATTGAAAATGCTTGTAGCTGAACTGCAAGAAGCAAGAGTTGTAACATAGTGGGGAGTTTTATCCACCATCAGCTGTACTATATTTGGGTTTTCCCCTATCTTTCACATGCTATATGCTCTGTCGTTTACTTTCTCATTCATTTTATAGTTAAACTCGGTATTTTTTTTTATCGTTGTCATATGATAATGGTAATTACTTGATATCAATATAATTTCTGAATCATTTCACTATATCTTTGCAAATGTAAACACTCATTTGACACATGTCAAGCAAATTCACGTAATCATATACTACAAAAAGTAATTTCTTTAAGTTCATCGACGAATTTTTCATTTTTGCAAATTTAAGTATCATTCTCTTTTGACAAGTGAGGTGATGATGTACATGATTTAGTGCATGAGAAATTTTACAATGCTATATAGTATTGGTGTTATAGGGTTTTATCTTTATGGTACAGCTTATAATTGTACATTTACGTTATGGTACAACTTCAGATTGTACCTATACTTTTTGTACAAATTATTTTATGGTACAACGTAACTTGAACTTGTACCTTTATATGATGGTACAACTTCAAGTTGTAAAGTTGTACCATAACATAATGATACAAATTGCTTTATGGTACAACCTAAACTTATACATTTAATGTTATGGTACAATTTTAAGTTGTACATTAAAGCACCAATACTATATAGCATAATAGAAGTGCTCTAGTCCATAAACATCATGTAACACCCTACCCTATACGTTTTGCCTAATCATATTGTTCATACAATTGCAGCGGAAATAATCTCGGGTGTTACATTAATTATCAAAATTTACCTAAATAAAATTTCGACATGAATTACTCGCGTAATGGGCTAACAGTTCTTGCAACTTAACCTGCAAAATAATTCATCACAAACATATATACTCACAACCATATGCATTGGCTTTTCTTAGCCATAGTCACACTTTTCATACTTCCTAACTGCATACCATACTTATACATACCATAATCGTCACAACTTACACAGTTACACAACATATACACATATCATTAACTTTCCACACCTGTGGATATCTCACACTAGATCAGAAGCTAGTATGCACATGAAAAACGTTCTCAAAACATTCTTTTACAAAAAGGTGTGGATCACTGGCCAAAATCCCGAGTAGTAGTCCAAGCACAGAATAGTTGAAGACCATACCTCATCCTGGCTTCAACTCTAGCTCCTCTCCCACCTAAGCTTATCTACTGCTGCTGCTGATGATCTGCTTACACATAGCATAAGCAGAGAAGAAGAATAAAAGAGGGTCAGCTCATAGCTGAGTGAGATAATCATAGCATCGTGAGTTCATAACAGAGCATACCCCTACCATACATCTAGCAAACGAGCCAAAACACTAGGATCGGACCTCAGCCATCCTCATATCCCAATAAGCAAAAGACTCAACCACTTTGACTTATGCATATGCATCTTATCATGTTTTAATCATAGGCGCCTGGCTACTCCCATGCTAATAACTCTCCCGGGAAACATACCCCACATCCCGTCGGATGTAGTCATACATACCCCAACATCCCGTCGGATGTGGTCATACATACCCCACACCACTATGGGTGTAGTCATACCCCGACACCGCTCTGGGTGTGGTCATATCTCATAAGAATTCTTCAGTCACCACCAAATGAGAGGTGTGACTATCATACATATCATAATAGAGTAATAGCATAGGGAGCCCTAATTACTATGTAGTTGACCGTGAGACCACCACACTCATTATTGGTATCCTTATACATGATTCATATCTCATCTTGCTTAATCATAATTCATTACTTGCACATGTACTTGACCTGGCCACAATTGGCTCAACATAAGTAAATCAGGAGTCGTATAATTGCATTTCCTCGGGATAAACCCTCGTGCAAGTCATCCTCCTTAAACATCATAATATCACCCTGGGAAGTTTATTTTCCCCACTTGTGAATCCAAAAACAACCACAATATCACATCATGTCAAAAACCCTTATCGAACAACCATAAAGTCATATCAACAGTTAAGCCACAAATGGCAACATGTAGGCAATCATCCACATAAACAAGGTTCATATCGATTAGGGCAAGTCAATAATATCATACAGTAGTCCAGGGTTCATCATATAGCAAAAAAGTCCATACACCCCTAATCATGCCATTCTAGTTCACCTAGGTCAATTCTAAGCATCAATATAATTATCGTGATACGACAAACCCGGTATGCCGTGCTAATCCCTCACCAGTTCTGGTCGTTCAAACACCGGTTCTAGCCTCCCGTACTAAAACATCAATTTCACGAACGAACCCCGAATTAAAATCCGAGACCGTCCTAATATCCCCTGCAGTATCCCCGTCAATATTAGTTCTGGGCTCCAGGTCAAATTCTCGATAAAAACACATCAAACCCTGGCCGGAGCTAAATTCAGCGGTTTGGACCCCGGCCTAAATAATAGCCGAAATTCAGGGATTCGAACTAGAGGATTGATTACCTCGCTGCAGGAAGCTCGTAAATGAAATTTGGGCTCAATCCGGCTTCCGGATACTCCGAAACCCTAATTTGGCTTATCGGGAATTCAAGAAATTCCTGAACCAAAAACTCGTTTTAAAGCTCTAAATCGATAAATCACGATGAATAGATGAATTAGGCATTACTTACGGGATTTTTGGATCACTAGGGCTCAAGAATTTGATCTGGAGAATTTTTCCCCCGAACGCTCTGTTTCTCTACTTCTCTCGCGGAAACTAAAAAGAAGAAGAAGTTGATATGGTTTCTGGAGAGTTGTCTGGGAAGGGAATTAAATGTCCCGTGTGTATATATATATATAATTAATACGTATACTTATCCGATCGATCGATAATCCGATTTTCGCCGAAATAGTGTCGAAATGCTCGATTTTAAATCGCGAACTTTCTAGCGATCGAAATATGGGTTTTGCCGGAACGGGGTGTTACAATTCTCCCCTCCTTAAAAGATTTCGTCCCCGAAATCTATTCTTGAATCGATGGTACAAATCCGCTCGTTCCCCCCCTAACCTACACTATCACAAATCTTGTTACTACCTTACTTTTAGGTTAGGAGATTCATAACATAGAGAGTAACACATAACACCTCAAGTTCCCATGTTTAGGTTTCAAAACCTATATTGGGCTATCACAACAAAAGCACATCAGCAAGTTCAAAGCATAACTTACTAAGCAAGATTGTTAACCTGCAAAGTAGGTTGCTACCAACTCAGGGTACTTCTCTCGCATACTTGCTTCAGTCTCCCAGGTAGCACTCTCACTATCTTGATTTCTCCACACCACTTTCAACATTGGAATTTCCTTCCTACGAAGATTCTTAATCTGAAAATCAACAATCTCAACTGGAACCTCCTCAAAAGTCAAATCTGAACCCAACTCGATCTCTTCTGGTTGTATAACATGGGAAGGATCCACTTTGTACCTCTTCAGCATACTAACATGAAATACATTGTGGATTTGAGATAGTTCTGGAGGCAATGCCAGTTTATATGCCACTGGTCCAATCTTCTCTATGATTTCATAGGGTCCAATATACCGAGGTGCAAGTTTCCCTTTCTTACCAAATCTCATCACCCCTTTCCATGGTGACACTTTGAGAAATACTTTCTCACCCACTTCGAAATTAACTTCACGCCTATTCGTGTCAACATAAACTTTCTGTCGATCTTGAGCCACCCTCAAACACTCCCTGATTTCCTTGACCTTATCAACTGTGATCTGAACTATCTCTGGCCCTGAGATTTGCCTTGCTCCTTCTACATCCCAACATAATGGTGTTCTACACTTCCTCCCATAAAGTGCTTCATATGGTGGAACACCCAAGCTACTATGGTACTGGTTGTTGTAAGCAAACTCAATTAAGGGCAAATGGTCAATCCATGATTCCTCCCATTGCATTACACATGATCGAAGTAACTCCTCCAAGGTAAGGATGGTTCGTTCACTCTGCCCATCTGTTTGAGGATGATAAGCTGAAGTAAAATGTAATTTAGTTCCCAAGGCATCATGTAAACTTTGCCAAAACCGAGATGTGAAGCTCGGGTCTCGATCAGAGACAATAGAAATTGGCACACCATGCAATCTGACGATCTCCTTAATATATAGATGAGACAAGGTCTCCAGTGATGGTTTCCATCTAATGGGTAAAAAGTGAGCCGATTTGGTTAGTCGGTCCACAATAACCCATACTGCATCCTTTCCCCTTGATGGTGGGAGACCATATACAAAACCCATTGTGATTCTTTCCCACTTCCATTCTGGAATTGGAAGTGGTTGCAGTTTTCCCACAGGAGCTTGATGTTCTGCCTTAACTTTCTGACATACCAGACATGTGAAAACATGTTCAGCCGCTTCCTTTTTCATCCCACGCCACCAAAAATATGGTTTGATCGTGTGATACATTTTAGTTGCTCCTGGGTGCATAGCATAAGCAGAAGAATGAGCTTCATCTAGGATCTCTTTCCTCAAATTATCAACATTAGGAACACATGCTCTTCCATTCATCTTCAACATGCCATCTACCATTTCAAATGGGCTTTCTTTTCCTTCCTCAATATCTTGAATGATTTTTGCCAACTCTGGGTCCTCCTTCTGCTTCTCATGAATTTTGTCATGTAACAAAGGTCGAATGTTCAACCGAGCTAGTAACCCTGTTACACCATCCACTTCCAAATCCACATTCATTGCCCTCAAATCAACCAGATCATTTATATTCTTCTTCCCCTTTCTGCTCAGAGCATCAGCAACTACATTAGCTTTACCTGGATGGTAATCAATGGTACAATCATAATCTTTCAACAACTCTATCCATCTCCTCTGGCGACTATTTAAATCCTTCTGATCCATAATATACTTCAAGCTTTTGTGATCAGTTAGGATTTTAAAAGTCTCACCATACAAATAATGTCGCCAAATCTTGAGAGCAAATACCACCGCTGCCAATTCTAA